TGTCATTTGTTGGCGAAACCCTCTTTTAATATTACTAATTCAATACTTAAACTTTTGTTCATTCTAATTCAAAAAAGAAAAACTATTTATGTGTGTGCAGGGGAGGGGTGGCAGTCCCTCCCCGAGCCAACGGGTAAAATATGGGCGTATCTTACATTTGATTATTAGTTTAAAACAGAAAAAACATATAAAGTACAGTTATCCTTTAAATGATTTCAATATAATAAGTATGGCAATTTAAATTTTGTTTTGATCATGTCTGTTTAATAGACTGTATGTGTAATATAGTTTTGAACCAGGAACTGGACCTCAAAAGCTACTCATCATGTTGTTCTTTGAAAAAATCCCAAGGGAGACTTGTTCCATGGCCAATTTCGCATATCCTGGTCCATAGTACGCTAGTATTTGTTATTTTTTTTTTTTAAAAAAACATATATATTAAAATAACTAGATCTCATTTCTTTTGTCTCTCAAAAAAATTGTTGATTTTATTCGGGTTTATGTGTTGATTTCTTTTGAAATATGAATTTAGTTGTATAGAGCATGCCCCATCAACCCAACACCTGGTTAAAATGATTAAGAAGTAAGTCTATCATTTATAATTTTTAGGCTGGATGTCGTTATTTTATTTTCATAGCACAAAATGATCTGCATCATGATCTTGGGAGATATTTGAAACAAATGTTTTAATGAAACATGTCAGCTTAACAAACCAAAAGAAAAATATGAAAACAAACTAAATTATGAATGAACAGACCTACCTGATAATATAAAAATAAAAACTCGCAAACATGTGTAGTAAGTACAAGAAATACCAAAACATATTTAGCGTACCTTTGTATACATCTAGCAGCTGAAATCATACATGAACATTATTTTGATTATTTCTTTTTAATATATTTGCTTAATTTTGATTGAGTTAATCAGTATTTAGATAACATATGTCAAATCTACATTTTATTATTTTTCTAGAATTAACAATCCCTTGTACATATCTTCTTGGATGTTTTTCAAAAACATTAAAACAACAAAATAACTAGTATTTCTCTATTTGTGGACTTGTTTTACTGAATTGTTGACTACGCACTATATATGTATAAACCCCTCCTTCAAATGACCCATATTATAGTGGTCTTAACCATACCCGGATATTATGAATGAATTTAACCTTTGTCCTATGAACATGTGAAATATTTCAACACTGAAGGTGTGGATTGTGTATGACAACTTGTTTTGTATCAACATTTGTCCCCATTTCATGTACCAGGCAATTTAGTTTTCCCTGAAAATAGTGAAAGATAAATTTCCCAGAGTAAAAGAAAGATATAATATAAGGAAGTAATGATTCATATAGCTGTTGAATATTTAAGCTTGAAATTGATTGGTTAAAGTGTGGTGCCTCCTATACAAAAAGGTGCCGTGACAAAAGACATGCAAACATTAACATGTAGTTGAATAGGTACACCTTTAACTGTATGATATCATCTTATCCAGATTATTGAACATTGTATAAATTGTGAAACATTAAAACAAATTTCATCATAAAAATTGAAAGCAACAGCCTGTAGACGCTGTAATTAGTTCTATCTACTCAGTTTATATAGAATAGTGGAGTAATTATTGTAATGAGTAGTTTTATCATACTGATTGGCTGTTATATTATATGATTGGGAAAATGGTATGAATAATTTTGTACATATTTAAAGGCATAAAACTTCTTCTTTAATAAAGTGTTCAAATTGGTGGATTCAGGACCTGGAGTAGAGAACATCTACACAAATTAGTCTGTATTTCAAAATATTAATGCCATGGGAAGTTGGTTTGTCTACTAATTTCAATTTGGTTTACGGTTGAACACAATTCAGTTTTATGTCAACATTGGCAATTTCTGTGGAACTAAAATTTAAAAAGTCAGGGACCTTGTGTATTCTGATGAAGTAAAAATATAGTTTTGAATTGAGTTAACCAGATACGAAATGTTAAATAAACTTTGTGCTGTTAAATTTTCACATCAGTCTTATTACTGGTATAGTTTGATGGTTGACTTCAATTTATCAACTGTTCAACACAAAATCAATGTAACTAATGAAGTAAAATGGGGTTTAATGTTTTTATGTACTAACCAGACTAACGAAGATGATGGTAATTTCTTTATTTTGATTTCCTTTGATAACCTTTGATGTGCTGAATCACTGACAAGGGGAACTCAGACTGCAAAATTCCAAGGAACACTAGGATCTGTTCCTGAGCCACCATAGCTCCTATTCTTGTAAGGTGACAAATGACGAATCCATATAAGAAAGTTGATTTTGCACATAAACCTAGAATCCAGCCCGCAGACACAGCCACTTTCCATGCATCAAAGATAGACAAACCACCCCCTGGGTGCTAAGTATCACATGCTATATGTGTATATTAGCATGTACCCGGGGTTTTTTATTTTTCCGCTGTGACCATCTGGGTTGTGAATCACGAACACAAATATGTCATATCTCAGCATTGGCTTTATTTAGAATACAGAGAAATTTTATTTTAACAAAGATCGATTTTTACCTTACAAAAGCAATCAAGACAAAAAAAAAATCTTATCTAATCGAAACTGTCATTTTCTACCAAATCATTGATGCCGAGTCATTATCAAATAAATGTATTTTACTAACAAGATCATCCGTATTTGAAAAAGTTCAGGTAGGTTAAACCTGTTGGTAAAAAGGTCTTTAAGATAAAGATATATCACGAAGGTTACTAGGATGTATGACATATTTGTAAATTTACCAACCCACAGTGGTTAAGTGGGTAAGACGCTGGCTCGTTAGCCTGGAGATCTTGTGTTTGATCCCTGCATTGGCCTAGAAAGTTCAAGATTTTCTGTCGTTGTTTCCCCTTGTCAGTAGTGCAGGACGAAGGGCCTCACAAGGACAACTCTCTAGTCGTTTGGATGGGATAAAAAATTCAAGGTCCCATGTATACATGGGCATGCACATAAAAGATCCCTTGGCAGTTGGAATTCGAAATAAGAGTAGACCATAGTACTGCTGCCCGGGCAAAAGTTCCCGCATAGCACACTGTATGGCGTATGCCCGTGTTCATTAGCCCATTGCATACTCCTCGCAGTGTTTTGTTTGATTAGAGCTTATCCCACTTAATACTACTGTAGTAATGGAAGCAAATTTCTCTTCCAAATTATGACTTGTCAATATTCAGATTAACAATTAATAGCTAACTGCGTAACAATATCATTATGCTTTAAACAGAGCTCCAAATTGGACCAAATATGTTTACATAACGTTACGTCATGACTCATGATTTTATTATGCCCAATTAACCAGTGCATAGCAGAATATTGCAGAAAAACTAATTGTGTGATAAACAAGGCTATCAACACAGATACAATGTAAACAATACTGTTTGGAGACGAACAATACTTTCACCGTTTTAATACCTTAAATCACTGTCCAAAGTTTTAGGGAAAACCCCAGATTAAATGAAGGGCTATGACATGTATCAGAAGCCAATCCAGCAATGGCCAGAGGGGGATTTTTCGGGCCATTGCTTCAGGAATATGGTTAATTGAAGTACATGTATTTTCTAGTCTATAAATCTGGTTTTAGGTCTTCTTTATAATTGTACGATACACCTGTTGTAATAAATACATCCCATCAAGTACTTCTATATATACTTGAAATTACTGCAATATATATATATATATATATATATATATATATATAGATGATATTCTTTATGGTGTTAATCAAATCAAGGAATTGTTTTTATTAAAGCTTATATTTTACAGGACAATCCTCTTGAATCCTGTTTAGATTTATAAACTATTCCCAGAGAATTTAATTCTTATCCTGTCCTATAATTTATTCTGGGAACTTGTATGTTTCTTATATCCTGGTCCTGGGAATCTGTGTAAATAATCCTGTTTGTGATTCATTATTAATATATACTCTTCAAAAAAAGTAGGGGATATTGAAATGCAAATACCTATGCAGGTTGCGATATGATAAATAGTCATGGACATTTGACATGCTTTGAGAATATGTTCACAGATGCGATATGATAAATAGTCATGGACATATGACATGCTTTGAGAGTATGTTCACAGATGAAGAACTTATCTCCCCAACAGAACCACTGAGCTGCACATGCAACACGCAATAGCGCCATACACGTGGGAGGGGTTCATTGTCAAATTTGTCACTTCAAGGAAGGGTTGATGAAAACTGCCTCGTGCTGGTTTATCTATCCATGTTTGCTTTCCTATCGGTTCTTGCATAAGATTTACTGTTTAGCATATCTTTGCTTTAGTGTGTTACGTTTAATTTGATCGGGAGACGTGTTCGTCGACATCAACCTCCACCGACAACACAGCAAGAATTGGCCGTGGCATTGCAAGAGGAGTGGGTCAGATTGCCCCAAATCGTGATTGGACGGTTGATTAGGCGCATGCCACGACAAATTGCTGAATGCCTGAGGATTGGTGGAGCAATTACTATTTGTTAAGAAAAAAATTAAAAACGTCCATTTTCACTTTTGACAGTGTATCTCTTTGCGAGTGAAATGGGGGCCGTCAGATAAGCCGCTCATATGAACTGTTTATGTTCATGTATAGGCAATTGGCCTGTTATTAACCTACACTGGTTACCTCTAATAAAAACAGCAGTGCATTTCCACAGTTTTGTATTGTTTCGGAATATCCCCTACTTTTTTTGAAGAGTATATGTTTACTTTCTTTGTTTTAAATAGTTTCATGTAATAGTTGTAGTTACCTATGTTTGTCTTCTAGTTATCTTTTATGATTGTGTAAGATATTGCAGATTGTTTATTGTTTCACAGTGTTTCAATATTATAATAATCCAAGTTTTTCTTCTGAACATGATTAACAGAAACAGGGACAGGGGTGAAAGACGATCTGCATAGATAAGAATATATCAGTTTATGAGCTGAGCATTGTCGGACATAATAAAGAATGAAATAATTTTTTATAATTTCAGGTTGAAAATATCGTCAAGCCATTTATACTTGATGATGCAGTGTATAAAAGGGTCTGTGATGTTATGCTGGATAATTTCAATAGGGGTTTGGGGAAAGAGACAAATGCTGAAGCCCGGGTAAAGATGTTCCCAACCTATGTTCGTTCAGTACCAGATGGAACAGGTAATCATGCAGATTTATTAGAAATGCTGAACTATGTAGTGCCTACTCTCTGATAACATGATATTAACTTGATATTGCATAGTTTTAACAGATACTTTTAGCAGATATGTCATTGGCAATGAGCTTTTGTAGCTGCTAAAATATCCAATTTTGCAAAACATGTAAACTTTTAAAATGACCATGCAGCCTACCCTTCTTTACATACATGCCTGAGACTTCATTTCTTATTTATTGGTAACTGTTTTTCAGAGGAAGGTGATTTTTTGGCTTTAGATTTAGGTGGTACAAATTTTAGAGTTTTGCTAATTTCACTAAAAGGCCAAGAAGTCAATATGGAAAGTAAAATATTTCTCATACCACAGCATATAATGTTAGGAACTGGAATGCAGGTATGTTCATCTTGACATAAATAGACTAAAATTTGTGTCTACTCATGTTATTAGCAATCAAAAGTTATACTCTTTTCTTAAAAAGAATGCTTTTATTTACTAGAATCCTGGACCCTATATGAGATCTTTTATGTCCATGCTGGTATAAAGTTTATATTGATTAAATGTCACCATCTCTGATTTATAAATATGTATATGTAATTTTTGATTGAATTGGTATTAAAGTATTTCAATTTGTTCCTTTGTAATTATGTTAAGACATTTATGTCATTCAATAATATTTTCATACAATACAATACATACCTGTCTAAATATTTTGATTGTGATTATTTGTGTATGATTGATTTTTCTGTTTCAGCTATTTGACCATATAGCAGATTGTATATATAAATTTATGAAAGAACAAAAACTAGAAAAAAAGACACTGCCTCTTGGTTTCACATTTTCTTTTCCCTGTAAACAACTTGGTCTAGCCAAAGCCCATCTGACAACTTGGACAAAAGGTTTTAAATGTGAAGGGGTTGAGGGAAATGATATTGTTCAGTTATTACACGAGGCTATAAAACGAAGGGGGGTAAGTGGCCATAAACCTTCTATATATATATTAATGTTGAATGTTGTGTTATTGAGATTTACTAGTTTAAAACGATGAGCAATAAGCCAATGATAGATTATATCATGTGTGGGTTTGTGAAGGGAGGATTGTATTTTTAGCTTATCATCAGTAATAGGTCTATCCTAAAATTGTCAAATGACTTCATTCCTCCACAATTCTTTATCTCAGAACCAAAAGTTTTCCACTTTGAGGTTACAATCATCCATTACAAAATGTATTTAAATCCAGTAAATATTGCAGGCTAGCGATGGCATTAAGAGTTGATTTTGGTCTGGATAAGTTAATTAATGTCTAATTAATTGATAATTGTATATTAATAAGGAAATGTTTATTGTAGGATATGGAAGTGGAATGTTTAGCTGTGATAAATGATACTGTAGGAGCACTAATGTCTTGTGCTCATAGTGATAGACAGTGTGCTATAGGACTTATTTTAGGTAAGATAAACAAAAATATCAAATTAACTCAACCATTGTCTGCTTTATTCACCTATAAAACAAAACAACAACATTTAAACGTGTATTCTTTAAAGGACCTAAGTCCGTAACTCAAAATACTCCAAAATCTTCGACATCGAAAACACGAATTATTGGTCAATTTAAATCAACATTGATGATGTAAACTTACCGGGAAAAGATGAGCTTCTGATATCCGATATTTAAGATAAAATAATTTTTTTAACATTTGTACACGAATCGTGTACCATAATGCGCTTCATCCCCAGTTGTATTGAGAGACTCGAGGGACGAGGCTAGACACATTGAACCAAATCAAATGGAGTTATGTAGACTAGAATAACTAGACGCTAGAAATTTGCACTCGATTGAGATTGCTGACTTATTTCGCCGAACATAACTGATTTGAAATTGGACTAAAAACGGAAACCATTAAATGTAAATCAGTTTATATACATTCATATTACAGTATTATATGCGTTGCGTGGCATTTAGTAACTGGGCAGATAAATAAACTATAAACATACTTATGGAAAACAGCTACTGATTTATTTAGGCGATGTTTCGAAGAGTATTTTCTCAACGTTTTCAAGCTAATACAATATAACAAAATTTGAAGCACCATATATAGACAAAATTACAATAACAAGGTTGAAGCAATACATGGCAACATCAAGATCAAAGGCCTATGACACAATGGGGTTATGATATACAAAAACAAGATATAAGGGACTAATTAACTTTCTAAAAGCCACTAAGTAGTGGTGATGTGTACATTGTAATTGTGACAATTATTGTTAGCTATGTAACAAACTATGATATGATGGTACTATAATTAATGGTGCAAACCTGGAACAGGATTTTGAAATCTATTAAAGCTTCTGGTGAAAAGCCAAAGCTCTTGTTTGAGGGGAAGGATACCCCTAGCCAAATCTTGGAGACACTAATCAAGTTATTTAAATACAAAAGTACAACAAAACCCACACACTGCTGCTGGTATTCATATTAATTTACTTGTGTTCGGATTGGAAATGAAATGGTTAGTACAGAAAATAATTACAGAAATGTATTTCATCTGAAGTATATTGATTTTTGTGTTCAGGTCAACTCACTGTGTAATGTATTCAGTTTTATTTGACCAAACACCAGCTGATACATGTAATATAAATAAACTAGACACCTACGTTATAATAGTTTATATTTCACCATTTTCTTCTATTATTAAAATTATTATAAACAAACATGCAGACACAAACATTACTTTTATCTTTTGATAAATATTATTTATATGAAAATCTGTGACATTGCATCATACATGTACTAAAAGTACATATATTAAAAGTTGATGCAATTTTGATGAACATAGGTCAAAATTATAATTATGATAGGACATAATTATTTGGCACATTATAAGGATACCTGATAAGTTGGTTTGTTGGGAAAACAACACTTATTGATATTTTGTGATTTTCAGGTACAGGAACAAATGCTTGTTATATAGAAAAATTAGAAAATGTAGGATTATGGGATTCCGATTACAATGACCCTAAAGAGGTTAGTAGTACATACAAAATATTGTAGTAAGAGCCTACATGAGAAAGACTGATTAAATTACGAAATGTCATTTTTCAACATGGTTAATAAACCTAAATCCAACTTGGAAAATAAACCTTATAAAGAGATAAGACTGCACATGTAAATGCTTTTAATCTTCAAGAAAAGAATTTACATTAAGTGTGTGCTTCCAAATAGAAACAGATTCATTATGTTGAATAAAACTCTTAAATAAAAAGCATATAAAGTCATATGATTGGTGGACGATGGTATATGAAACTTACACTGTCTACAATTAGCTCGGCTTGAGAGCAGACGTGAAGCTACTTCACCAACATTTTAATTCCGACATAAACCCAATTAGTCAAAAATGCTATGTATATTTCGAGAATTTTGAGAATTTCATTGTTCTGTTTCTTTTTTCATACTTCATGAAATTGAACATGGTTGTATGAAAAATGTAAAATGGATGAGAAGAACCCATAACAAAATATACACTAAATTTTCAACATGGTGGTCAGTCATTCATGACAGAGATGTATTCTCAAAGTAGATAGTTCTCTGGATTTAGAACGGACTGCTGGTACTATAGTGATAAAAATACTGTACATGTATATAAAGTGTTAGGACTAACTGTATATAAAGTATTAGGACTAACTGCATATAATATTGATGATGAATACAAATGATGTTATTTGGTCAATGTGTATGTCAGCTATCATTTTCATGTTCATAGCTAGATTATTGAAATGAAATCAATACATGTGGATGATTAGGTCATATAATTTTATCTGAAAGTATGATATTTCTATCTATCAGGAAAAGTAATATTATTGTTTGTTGGAATACAAAAATAAGTTTTGTTCTTCATTTATAGGGCATTTGGACTTTAAATAGCAATGTTGATATAATGGTTAATGTTCCTGGAGTAATGTATTTAGAACATCCGTCATTTATTAGTTGTTTTAATTTTATTTGTGTTTATTTTTTAAGGTTATAATTAATACAGAATGGGGTGCAATGGGTGACGATGGAGGTTTAGATTTTGTTATCACTGAATATGACAAACATGTAGACAAGCATTCCATAAATGCTGGTAAACAAATGTAAGTAAATTTAATGAAATCAACAGTACACAATAATGTTGGTTGGCATCCTTCAATAACATAAAATTTTCAAATTGACTTCATTGTGTAAACTTATAAAATTCAGCTGTCCATGGTTGATTTAAGATTGTCTACAAAATTTGAGATGAATCAGATAATCTTTCATCAAACAGTCTTTGATCTATATAAGTCATTACGTGTTAGTGTATATAGCATACGTTCCACGTTGGGTCGTATATGCCTGTCAAGACCGAGGGCTGTGGAAAATGGCCGTAACTAAATCAGACCCATCAATCATTTTGCGTGCTGGAAAATAAACGTCTACGATCAACATCTACTATGTATCTATAAAATTGTATGGTCGGTACAGAATAATGCACACGTATAGAAGCCACATAATCTCATGATTTGTGTTATGGAGTTAGAGTCATCAACAGATTATACTGAGTGTTGTGTTGTTAATTAATGATGAGTGTCTGGTAGTAGAACAATAAAAGTTAACTGATATGTGGGAATCTTATCAATGGCATAAAGCCGTCCATTCTTGTCATAAGAATTTTTCTTGACAAAGCCGCTTTACCTTTATTCCGGTCATGCACGATGTAAACAAGAATATTATAATCTTCGAAAAAAGGGCAATCAGATATGAAGTACTGCTCTTTTAATCCAACCGTCATATTAAATAAAAACAGCATAGAAATTACGTAAATCCTCAACAACGTACGTGTTTGGAAAGAAATGTATTATATTTGTTTTTACAGCGGTATTACGGCCTTGTGGGAACTGTAGAAATAAAATCTAGAGATTAGTTAACTTGCTTACCGAAAAATTAGGAAAATTACTGTGTATTCCAGTGCTATTGTGTAGCAATACTGATAATTCCGTGTTTTGCAAAAAAATTGTGTATATATGATTACTCTTAATATACACGATATTCTAGGGGAGCTAATGTCGCTAGCTGTGAAGATAGTCATCGGTTAGTTATTTAGTTACTCATTATTAGGATTTATGTCACAATTCTGCAGTCTGTATTCCCATCTATGATGGTCTGAAACCGACAAATACAAGAAATATGCCGTGGATAATTATTTCGAAGTTATTGTATTACAACTCAAAATTATCCAGGTCAGTATAGAGCACATGGTAATACATGTGAGCTACTGGAATGGCTGTTCTACGGCCCATTCAGCTATTTCGATTATTTCAGTAGCCAAAAGGGAATATTTCATTAATAAATATTTATCATAAGCCTTACTAATATTTCATTATAAATTTTTGTGTACACCATACTGACAAAGTGTTATAGACATGTGAATTCACAATACCCTACCATAAATAAAAAACATGGAACATGAATTTATTTTGCAATGTTTTCGTGTGTTATCAAAAATGACCGGCAATGGAAATTCTGAAGTGGAAAACCTGGTATATAGTTTAGAAATTCAAATGTGTTTTCAATTATGTGCTATTCATGGATTGTTAAACTATTGTATCACTATGAAGGGTTTAATGTCTTATGTTAATTTACTTTGTACAGAAGCGTGTATGGAACTATAGTCAATTTTGCGGTCTCATAATGACATTGCTATTTTGTAGTATCAGATGTTATGTCAATATTATTTCAACGTGAGATAAATGAATGTTACATTTGTATTTTTTATTAAATTTTGAGCATCAACAAAGGGTGTAAAACTGACTTTTTAAACAGGGCATATATTGTAAATATGTTATTATCCCTTCACCTGCCGAGTATTGAAATATTGTCAGGTTTTGATTTCCATATTTTTGAAAGGGTACAATTGTAAAGTGACAATGATGCATATGTCTAGTAGATAAGTAAAGTTTCAGTGACTCAGTGCTATCTGAGAAAGATGTCCAATCAGGATTGTGTTTATTATGTCATACATGGCTATTTGAAATCTGATGTTACAATGTTATTACGTGATTTTCTTAGTATAAACAACTATTTTTTATACACCACATTGAAATGTGGTTGTATATTGCCATTCACAATTGGTTGTAAACGATCTACAGACCACCTTTATTAAAATTTACATAATATATTTTCAACCATTTCCATTAGGGTTTTTTTATAGTGTTATGCCCCTGTATGAAATTTATATGCATTATTCAAATTAGAGATACCCCCCCCCCCCCCCGGTACAAAGAATTCTATTAAATTTCAACATCTTCTGTTTAATATTACTACAGTTATGGCCCTTGCTTAACTTGTAGAATCTTCTGAACACTTAAACATACGTTATGCAAGAGCAAAATCTGCTTATTACAAGTCTTTCTTTAGGCCTGAAATGTTATCTAAATAATCAATTAGACATTAATTAACTTATCCAAACCATAATAACCTCTTGATGTCAGGGCTAGCCTTCGATGTTGACTGGATTAGATTCCTATATGCCGCTAACGGCCATTGATAATTAAATTTTAAAAAAGTGGATAATCGAGACTATGCTGTTTATATTAATGATTTTAGTAATGATGACCGAGACTATGCAAAAATTTCACCCGCTTCTTTCTCGGCTCATAGTGGATCAATTTGTCTGAAATTTTCAGCAAATTACCTTTGCACTATCTAGTTTTTAACTATTATAGCGAGAACTGCCATCTCTTTATCTTATCTCCCATAATGTATCTTTAAGTTTTTCTTTATATTCATTTTTCCAATTAGTGAAGCTTATTAAATTTCAACAAATTCCATTAGTTAGTAATTTGTTAACACGAGCGAGTTACAAAAAAAAAAAAGATTATTATAATATAACTCCCATTCCCTACGCATGCCGCAACCTCTGTGGACTACTCAGACAACTTATCTGTTATTGGTGTTTATGTTTCGTTCTCAAACTATTTTGTCATTTATTTACAGATATGAGAAAATGATTTCTGGAATGTATATGGGTGAAATTGTCCGACTTGTTTTGGAAAAACTACGAAGGAATGGGTTACTTTTTGGTGGCGAAGGATCAGCTGAGTTATCACAGAGGGGAAGATTTTATACAAAATATGTTTCTGAAATAGAAAGGTATTTCTTAAAAGTCATGTTATTTATAATAATAAAAAATTAGAAATGCTTTATAAATAAAATGGGGATCTAAGTGGGTAAGACACTGGCTCGCTAGCCTGGAGGTCAGCTGTTCTATCCCTGCATTGGCCGAGAAAGTTCATCCGATTTTCTGGCATGGGTCCCCCTTGTCAGTGATGCAGGATGCAGGGCCTGACAAGGACAGCTGTCTAGTCGTTCGGATGGTACAAAAATCGAGGTCCCGTGTACACATTGGCATGCACATAAAAGATCCCTTGACAGTTGGAATTCGATATAAGAGTAGGCCGCATTGCTGCTGTCCGGACAAAATTTCCCTAATAACACACTGTATGGCGTATGCCCATCTTCATTACCCTAGTTCGGAGCAGAACAGTAGGACTTTAAAACCCATTACATTTCATTTCATTTTTATAAATAAAATGTAATTTACCGATTTGATAATTGAATTGGGTGAATACTGGTATTTTATAAGTTGTTAATATACCTTTATATTTTTATTTTTCATGACTGTGTTTATATTGTACTGTTTGTGTTTATTTTTCAGTGATGTAGATGAAAGTGATTTTAAGAGTACAAAACAAGTATTTGATGAATTAAATCTAACTAATTTTACAGATGAAGATTGTAGAATAGCTCTATATGTCTGCTCTTTAGTCTCCACACGAGCTGCTTATCTTGCCTCAGCAGGTAAGCCTATTAAGACCAGAGTTCCTTCTCCCGAAAAGTTGTCTCTTGTATATATGCTTAGCATATAATCAGGTTACATAATCCTGGAAAATATGACCTTGCCATTGGAAACTGACCTTGTCTTTGATGAAATTTTGACCTTGTATTTCACTTTTTAACCTTGGAAGTTGTCCTTTTCCTGTGGTGAGCATTGAGTAGTCAAGAGTTATGTCCCATTGTTTAGTGAGCCCAATGTTTTAAATAGCTTCATTTTTCCTGTGTTTTCATATGATGCTCCACTAAGACACTTAAATCCAATATATAATGAAGCTGTTTTGCATTGTCTATTAACTTTTTAAAAACTTTGGTTTAAATCCTAATTGTTTTTAAAGGTGTCTGAATGTCCGACACAACAGAAATTTTGTAAATTTAAGAAACATGATTTAACAGAGTCAGATATAAAGCTTAGTATTTTTTTTATCTGTAATATATTTGTAGTTTGTCCAGTTAGTATTCCTTCCTTTTAGTAATATACTGACATATATTTTCAGGTATTGCTACATTATTAAATAAAATGGAACGTAAAGATGTGAGTGTAGCTGTTGATGGATCTTTATATAGGTTTCATCCACATTTTCATGATTTAATGGTGGAAAAAATTGAAAAACTTGTAACCCCTGGTATCAGAGTAAGTTATTAATTTATATTGTGTGTAATCCATCAACTTATTCTCTTTTTGGGAGAGTTGCAAGATTTATTCCCAAATCCCTGTCTTACCAGATGACTTATTTAACTGTATTCTAATTCAACTTATCAAGTAAATAGTAAGTGCAGGGGGACTGCACCACACACAACAAATCTTACAGACAGGACACAATATACACAAACACTGGTTAAACACACTTTATATTTTGTTTAAAATTATAATCATTTAATATATTATGAAAATTTTTTGTCTTTATAGTTTAAACTCATGCTGTCTCATGACGGTAGTGGCAAAGGTGCTGCATTGGTTGCTGCTGTGGCCAATCGTTTACGGGATGAAGAAGCTATGAAGGAAAAGGATTCTAAACCTAATGAAGATTAACATTGGTTTCTAAATTAGGATAATGTCAAATCTTAAATAGAAGGAATCTCACATATTTACAGTACAGATATAAAGTGTTGGTTGTGTAGATAAACTTTCATGGTAATACTTGATTAATAACTTCATGTTAATCATTTGACAACTACACAAATTCTTCACCACTTTGCTGTTAATAGATCATTGTGTGCTTCTTCACAAAGCTATTTGGTATAAATTACCGATTTATACAAAGGCAGTTTTTCTTGGTTAGCAGAAAGAACATGAGTTACCCCCCTTCGCTCAAAAGGTTATCAGAGCACCTTGGTCTGAAACCAATGCAATATGATTTTTAATTTTAAACTCAACATCAAACATAATTCTCTATAGGGTAGGCAGCTTGAAGGAGTTGGACATTTTGAAATAAAGATAGGCAATTTAACTATGTTATTTCTCTACACAGATCTAATCTGTGTTTTCATATCTCATATTTCCTCTTGAGTTTTTTTTATTATTTTTATCTGAAATAATTTCTTAGTTTTAAACATTTAATTGACACAAATGGACTTTAATCAAGTGTCATTTTTTTAAAATATAGATTATTACTGTGGATTTAATTAATTGTGCGGTGTATTTGATTATAATATTTATTTATTTATTGACTAGGAAAATTAAACTTTTATAACCTGCGACTGTAAAACCCATCAATGAATAAAGTCAGTGAAGCCTTTGCATGAATTGATGTGATTCCAAATCAACTTTTTATGTTATGTTTTATTAATACGATACAGAATCTGTTACTGTTATTTTCTTTAGAGATAATGACCATAGCAGGCTTTGGCTCTACAAATCAGATTTAGAAATCTTAATTCAACATGGCAAACTGTGTACAAAAATCTTCATAAAGTTGTCAAAAATGAAAAATTCATTTGTATAGAAATATTAATAGTGCAGGTGTGGTTTTTTCCCCTGATATCTATATGCCTGTCGAAAACAAGATACTGAAGTTTTCATTATTTGAAAATAAAAATTTTTAAGATATACAGCATTACAGTCACAGCGACAAATTTATATTTTGCTTGCATGAATATAATAAATCCTAATTTATGTTGTTTATAGCATATCTAAGAAATCTTTCAGTTTATGATCACACTTCAAATTTAGTAGTACCGGCACAATATTATATATATTTATAAGATGAGATCTGAACAAAAGCTACAAACAAATAGGCAAAAATTTGTTCCATTAAGGGACTTACAACGAAGCTGTAATTGTTACTCAAGTGTTATGTAGGAATAATAAATCAACAGATTGGTACAGTGATACAGAAATAAAACATCATTAAATAACAATACTAAACCAAATCATAACATATACTAGATGTTATATTATTTAATTAATATTTATTACATGAACAATAGGAAAATACTGGTAAAGTATCACATTTTACTTAATGCAATAGTGGATTATTTTATTTGTATATTAGACTTTAAAAACATGTAAATAGAAATCCTCTCATGTATTTTATTGTTTTTATTTGGAATTTTATTTTTGGTTATATATTATCAGTTTTATAGTGATTGGGAAAGTGTTGCTCGTCTGCATATACTGATGTCATCATGCATTTTCCATTGCAATCTCTTGTCATAACTTACTATTTTACATATTTTTAAGTTGTTATATTATGGCATTTTCTTTCCATAATATGAAATTATTAGTATTATCTGAACTACTGAATATTTTACAACACTCTAAATAAAATTACATATAAATTTACAGTTTCTATTTCTTAAATAATTGTTTAAGGCACAATGTGATATTTGTACAGGTTTTTATGTAGTTAAAGTTATTAAGTTTATATTTATTTAATTACAAAACTTACAGGTATGAACAAAGACTAAGAAAGAAATATTAAAATAGTCATTCTTCTTAGCTTTAAACAAATCTTTTGACATCAGATGTGTAAAAAACATGTCTAAACTTACATATAAGAACAAAGACCAAGAAATAGATTTTAAAATACTAGATTTAAACAAATTTCTTTACAATAAGGGGTGTAGAAAAATGTCAAAACAATTCTCTCCAACAATGTATATCATAATTTAACATGTGGGTATATAGTGTGTTTATATGCTGGTATAATATTTATTATAATTAGTTACAATGATGGAGCCAATTTTGCAAATGTTAATTATTACCAAATAATGGGATATCTTGTAATTTACTCATATTTCATCTTCATTATTCATATTGTATATTATTAACATGTAGCTTTAGAAATCAATGGACATTACAGATTTTATTATTATTAACAAAATCAAAAACAACAAATTCTTTTAAATTTTAGCGAAATAAGTGTTTGTTTTCAAGATATTGGTCATATTTTAGAATGAAGCGGGTCTCTTATATTTTGCCCCCTTTTATGTTCAGTTGATTTGAGTAAAGTTTATTCCATGAAGTTCAACATTCCTTTAGACAGTACATAAATATGTTATACCACAGTATTGGATATAATTTACTCTGTAATGTCCCTTGACATATTCCCTAGTTTAATTCAAGCAAATTCAACAAATTGTTTGGAAAATGTTCTGGTCTTTTAGTAAAATAATTAAAAGAAAAGTGGAGACATATTAAAATTATACTAAAATTGACTTATGTTTAATGATTACTCAACTGTGTTTTGTTATGCTGTACATTATTAGTGTACATGTATATTAAAAGACGCTGTTATCACTTAAAATGTATGCAATCATTGTAATAACACCAAATACATGTAGATTGGTATCATTAGATTAGATGATTGGGGCTTTAAACATTAATCTAAAATATCAAGGGTGGATCCAGAGACCACGGATGGGGCGGGGCACATGGTGGCAAGGACGCGCGCTGCGAGCACCAATTGGAGACGCACACACCGGTGTGTTCTGGTCGCCTCCCCCGGAAAATTTAGAAGCCCAGAAATGACATTTCCTGTGATCTGAGACATGAATCTGGTTTTAAGAAATGAATTATAATCCAGATGGAGGATACACCGGGTGTGCCTCCTACAAGATCCGCTTTTGAAAGTAATATATGGAGAAATTGTTTGAAACCTTTTGACAAACTGTTAGTATTTATGTCTTTTCAAGAAATAGAAAACATGTTGAGAAGGTTATTTTATTTTTTTGTATGTAGCTCTTTGATCTCACATATTATCACAAGAATCCAATGAATGGTCTCGGTGATTACGTGTTGTTAAATTGATCATTATTTTCATAAAATGAAGTTGTTATGGTTAGGATTTGTTTGAGTATAGAAAATTTATCACAGGAAATAAAAAAAACAAAGACAATCAATAACTTGCAAAATGTCAAAAAATTATAGAATGCTACAGGAACTTATTCCACCTTATAATGGGAGTCACTTCATATTTTTTTGAAACAAATATGGAAATCATGAAGGGAATATGTATGGGTGCACTGCTTACTATTTTATCATTTATAAAACTTTTAAATTTGAAAAAAAAAATTAACATAGCTTGCTGTGTATATTGCCAGATATATTAAAATTGTAATGAATGTATAAACAATATTGTTATGCATATGAAAGATATGATCTAGTCTTGTTGTAATGTCTCAGATGATAAAACACTTGATGCAAAAACCTCACAAATATTTGTAGCTGAAACCAGCTTATTGTTGCTGTTTTATAAATTTTCCTGGAATATTTTATTATATACTTAACATCATCATAAACCTAAATTTACCAATTTATGTTAAATATTGTTTGAATGTTATGAAATTTTCAAAGAAATCTTCATTCATTATTCTTACATACAACTCATGGTAATCATAAATTGTAAAATGAGTAGGAATTAAAAGATAATTAAAGTTGATTGGGGTTTTTGTGATACTGTATTTTTTTTATCAAACGTCTTCATATAAAAAGTGAAAATGTGAACTTTGTGCAATTCACTGCTTTAAGCAGTTTTTCCTTCTGGTTATTTTTAGCTCATGGCCATGCCAGTTGTACTCCTGTCCGTAGTGTTCTTGTTTTCGAGTATTACTAAGTGCAATTAAAACATTAATATTGTTCTTTCTATTGTGTCAAGGATGGTGGTACCTTCTGTACAGCCTTGATAATTTTTATGTAAAGAATTTATGTAAAGAACACAAGGTTAGGGCCATCAGTTATTTATTGGGGACACCATTTCCTTGAAACGTGATTAACTAAAGCTGGATGAATAACAGTACTCTTCTAGAAGGAATGGGACATGGTGTTAATTTACTGTTAATGGCAATACAATATGATATCTCATATGGTATACAGACTATACAACACGTCACAAGTCAAGGATGTATATTTTAGTGCTAAACACATAATAAAGGCCTACATGCATTTTCATTTGGTACAATAAAACCACTGAATAACTGATAAAAGAACAATAGATCCATGTGTGAAATATTAAATCTACCAGAAAGACACATAATAGTAATCATGATATTAAATTTAACGTCTAAGGATGTCATTATCAATCAGAGAGTAGGAAGAGTCTATTATAGCATTAAAATGTTGTACAAATTGCCATATCTACTTGCATTGTCGAAGGACAAATTATTTGGGGAGCCTAAAATTGGGATCAATTTAATATTCACAGCCAGTTTCATCCACCATCTCAGGGGTGTGGTGACCCAGGATTTTGCATGAGGAACAAGATCCTGTCCGAGCCCCCAAATAACAATATTTGTGTGTGTGCGTAATATCCGATTGACTTTAAATTTATACACAGTGTTTAAGGTCATGAGACGAAGAAGCCTATCGATTTTCAGCGATTTCCGATAATTACTGCCAGAGTTATGGCCCTTGATAACTTCAAAAAATCTTGTGGATGCTCTACAGGCCAAAGTTAATATCCGATTGACTTTAAATTTATACACAGTGTTTAAGGTCATGAGACGAAGAAGCCTATTGATTTTCAGTGATTTCCGATAATTACTGTCAGAGTTATGGCCCTTGATCACTTCAAAAAATCTTGTGGATGCTCTACAGGCCAAAGTTAATATCCGATTGACTTTAAATTTATACACAGTGTTTAAGGTCATGAGATGAAGAAGCCTATTGATTTTCAGTGATTTCCAATAATTACTGCCAGAGTTATGACCCTTGATCACTTCAAAAAATCTTGTGGATGCTCTAAAGGCCAAAGTTTAAGGTCATGAGATGAAGAAGCCTATTGATTTTCAGCGATTTCCGATAATTACTGCCAGAGTTGACTTCAGATTGATACACAGAGTTTAAGAGCTTGAGATGAACAAGTATATTGATTTTCAATGAATTTTTATGACTTGAACAGCTAAATCCATGATATTAAAAGTTTTGTATACTAAACGTTAGCATGGGGCAGAACTTTATAAAAACCAAACAAATTCTAATGGTTTTCTGATAATTACTTCATGAGTTGTTACTCATGTTTTATTACCGAAAGAAGTAAAAATATGCGACAACTCTTGTTGACTGCCCGGACGATTTAGCTGCTGTGGGCATATGTTTCGTTGCCTGGCAACCTATCTTTAGAATATCTTACCTACACTACAGTGTTTATGTTTGACACTGGTTAAGCTTTATGATTATGATCATAATGTTGAAAACCGCACTGAAACCACATGATTTTTTGTGGCATTTGCGAGGGGGCACAAAAACGCAAGGGGGCACAAAAAGCTCATCATTACGTCACTCTCACTTAGCCTCTGTACATCTACATGTTTAAAATAATAACCAGTTGATATGTTTCTGATATTATAAACTAGCATTTTGAAACAAATCTAGGCCATTCTAAAAGTTTTAATGTTACCAAAGTTGAAGTAGGACTTTACGGCAGACGGGTTGAATCAAAGGTCGTATAAATTTGTATCCCTGGTGTCAAAAACATGTTGGATAAGAGAGGACAGTAACCCAATTTAAAAAGACATTGATACTATAGTCTAAAAAAAAGAATTCGCAGTTCAGAAGAATGACCTTTAGCCAGCTGTGTTTAATTAATAAAAAAAAACGAAAATTGTCCTCAATAGTCCGAGGAACTCACACGCGGATTTTGATACTGAACATCCGGCAGTCGAAATGCAAAGTTCCGCATGTAGCTGAGAAGATTTGGTTAACCGAGCGGAATCTCTCACCCGTATTCCAGCACCCGGAATCGAAATGAAATTAGCAAACACATTCCTCGCGCCAATAAAAACCTATATACAATTATCACGAAAATAATTGTTGCCTTTATATTAGAAAATATAACATTTTAAGACATATTAATGCAAAGTATATAATAGACAAAACCCGCCAAAAAACTATAACCGGAAACATACTAAAATACATCCTCGGTTACCCAGTGTACTCATTCCGTTCTACTCCACAATACCCAATCTGTTTCACAGAGAATTACGAGTCTCGTATAATATCTCTGTCATAGATGACTGCCTTAATACGTGCTGCCACAGCACGCGGTGTGAATCATTGGCTGAATGGCGCGTGCATTGTTTACATAAGACATAACTGCTTCGGAGAGAATGCTGCATTTTAGTCAATTTAATACCCATTTACACTAAATCGGAAATAATTTTTACCTATAAATACGTCAAACGCCTTTATTTATTTTTCCAATATATACAAAAAATGTTTTAGAATTTAATTTGTCGCAGGAAAAAAGTTAATATTTCTAGCTCATTAAGCCGCATCAATGTCATCCTTATCAGTGATTGTCGCGGCCAAGCAAATATTCACTGCGGATCAGTGTGCACTATACCCTGGGTTAATCTATGGAGGAGACACGTTTTCAAGTTATCCGCCCTTGATGATTGTGCTATTTTTATCGACCAATCCCATAAATTGTTATTTGAAAAGGGAGTTGGCAAAGGGAAGTAACTCTCATCGGACAATGTTAGGATTTGGCCTATTCTAAATGCATAATTATTTAATTATTAACAACCAGTTATATATTATGTCAATGAAGACCAGACGTTCATATAACTATTGTAGGGTCAATAGTTTTATTGAGAATCGTTCGTTCGTTCGTTCCCGGAATTTTATGTCCACGTGATATCGTATAAGTTCAATAATAATAAACATAACAGAATGACATATTTCTGACAAAGAACGAATAGTAATAATAATAACAAAAGTCAAACATATAGATGCTATACATATTTGCAATCAACAATACACACTACAGATTTTGATAATACAATTAAATATAAATAAATTATAAATATATACATTATTTACATAAATCATTCAGTAAATGGACATGAATATGGTTATCTACCCTTATAAAACGATTATGAAACGATTGGTTTGTAAACTGTTTTCTGATTGGTTCGTAGACTGTAGCTACATTCTAGGCCAGGGCGGATAATTTGAAATCGTGGAAACCCTATGGATTAACCCAGGGTATAGTGGAGTAGAACGGAATGAGTACACTGGGTAACCGAGGATGACTAAAATATCGCACACTACGTTAATTTAACTGAGCACGCAGAAAAGGGCACGTCCATTTTGCATCAAAAAGCACCCAAACCAGCTTTGGTGGCAAAATGTTTTTTTTATTTCACAGAATCAAGGGATAAATAGAATGAGGCAGCCACTTCGGATTGACCGTTAACAATTACCGTAGGTTTATACTTTATACTAGCGGAACATGCCCCACCCTCTTCGTATTATGAATGAAACCAATATAGAAATATGGACTAAACAATGTGACGTCACACTTTATTAAAAAGTATATAGAATGAGGCAGCCACTTCGGATTGACCGTTAACAATTACCGTAGGTTTATACTTTATACTAGCGGAACATGTCCCACCCTCTTCGTATTATGAATGAAACCAATATAATTTTCATGCGTGACAATTTTCAAATAGAATCCTGTTTTCAAATCGTTTTTCTTTCCTTTTTTTTTAATTTTGGGGAAAAAATCAGGTCGATTAGATGTATGAATGTGGACATGACGTCAAGGAGAAAGTTCATCCTTATATTAAATTTGTCTCGTTATGATCACCCATATACTCCTCGCAGTGTTTCGTTTGATTATACAAAATCCTAGAGAGGGATTTCCCGGGCCATTGCTTCAGTAATATGCGACAACCAAATTTTTAACGCCATGGGCTCAGTGTCATTTCGGGACTAAGTTATAGTGTATTGTAATTAAATAATTCGCTTGTGCAATGGTAGCAGTGGTAGGATTAGGAAACTTGAGGACCCGGAAAAAACCCAAACACACGAGGTTAGGCAGGCGACCCTACTGCTTGTCACCCCCCCCCCCCCCCCCACACACACACACACAATGGCGCTTGACTCAATGACAGATTAAAATTTTATGATCTAAAACCATGTGATGGAGCAATACCATATCTACGGACCAGTGGAGCGGAGCGAAGCCCGAAATTTTTCGGGATGTATTTCACCTTCAGCCGTGCACCCTTGATCGGAGGGAGATTTCCAAAGTGAATTTGCCATCCAGTTTCAATGTTTCAGATCACGGTGGCATGCAGGGGCGCCGGAACCGGGGTATACAAATGGTACCCTGCCCTTTTCTGGAGTATACGTGTAATCCCAAAGCCCTAATGATGAAAGTTTTGAACCTTTTTACTAGTCTATTCATTTTTAAATGATATGTAATTGCTCTCTGGTCGGTCACGAACCGGCTCTCGCACTCTCATTATCAGCTATCAGTGCATGCCTTGGTCAGATGTCTATAAGTGGTTAATCGAGTTCATTGATCAGCGCATCAATTATTTCGGTCGATTAGTCTCATTATAGTTTCTCGTCAACACTTGCTCCTGAATATGAGCTCTTGCAAGAATCGTGTCTCTAAATCTAATGTCTCGTTCAAAAAGCTTATTCTATGAAGATTGGTGTATTGAATGTCAAATTAAAAAGAATTTTTTATGAGATGAATTATGATAAGAAAATTGTGAATAATCTACGGAAGACCATTAGGGTCAATCAAATGAAAAAGAAATATTCTTACTATCTTGTTATTACAGGCTTTTGTCTCTTTAATTATCATATATTTTACAGGGTTTTATGTTGGAATTTGGAATGCTAGAGGCGCTCTAAACAGCGTTCTCGGAATTGACAAATTTCAAAACTCTAGAAGCCTGGAGGAGAGACCCTCCCCCTCCCCGGACCCCCCATATCTTTTGGTACCCTGGCCCTTGCGCCGTTCCAGCGACCCTGGTGGCATGGTTTACCACTTTCTCAATGATGTTTAGTATAGTATGTTATCATGTAACTATTATCTAAAACGCGAGATATCATCACACCTGTGACAATTTGAATCGTACGATGAACTCGTAAAGTTTAAGTCATTACATATATAGATAATGAAAAGGCTTTGGTATTGAATAATGTATATGTAAACAAAGCAAGGGTTATTAACCGTATGTACATATTTTATCTTATCTGTTTTTAGATTACACTGTATTTAACAGAGGTGCAGGGACGATTCAAAGTTAGGCCGCTGAGATAACAAAAGTTTGTCTAGGGCTTATCTTGTCCAGTGCCGGATTTAGGGGGTGGGGCGGGGCGGGGCTGGCACATTTCAGTAAATAGGGACCCAGCTTATACTGAAATTGAATCGTACAAATTGTTTTTTGTTGTTTAGAAACTTCAATACGCAATATGCTTAAACAGAAAAGTAAAATCTCAAATCCCCGAATACTCAGTGGTTAGCATAAGTATACATGTTTATTTTTCAATAAACTTCAATCAAATAAGTATACATTTTTATTTTTCAATAAACTTCAATCAAATAAGATGTTTATGTGCACTTTAAATAATATCCAAAAATTAGAATTTTTGAGTATACAGTCACTCGCGCAGTTAGAGACATGGGGTGGTTACAAACAACAGCAGAACTATAAACACATTTATGTATAGTAACAAAATTGCATTCTACATTTCGAAGGGACCCCTAAACTTTGGGGCCTCCGTGCATGTCAGGGGCGTGGTGACCCATGATTTTGCATGAGGAACAAGATCCCGTCCGGGCCCCAAAAAACAATATTTATATGTGTGTGCGGGGAAGGGCGCTCCCAGTGCCGCCGTGTAATATTGGGCTGTGTGGCTAGCGTTGATTTGTAGCATATCTGACCAACAGACTGTATGTTTGACACTGTTATATTATGAATGTTGAAAACCGCATTGAAAACGCGCGATTTTTTGACATTTAATTGCGAGGGAACGCAAAAACGCGAAACCATGACGCAAAGCTCCTGCTTGCGTCCCTCCCACTTAGCCCCTGGTGCATGTGGGGAATCAGTACTGCAGTAATATCAAAGCTAAAGGATGCAGGTTATTTATAAACTTTTAACTATATAAATTTCTGAACGTGGTGTGTAACAGGAGTATATATATAGTTGTTTTTCAGTTTCTACTTGAGTTATAGATATAAAATCTAATTGTGAAAGTGTGGCTTATAAAAATCAATGCCAACACATAAATTATTTTTCTCCAGGATAGGCTATAAGCAATTAGAACATGACTATTTGGGTCGACGCGGGGTATCGGATGTTCTAGAGAGACACATAATCAAACGAGTTCAATTTTACATGTCTATACTATGGAAGGCCGAATGGGGTAATGTAACAGTTTATGGCATCCATTTAGGCCATTAATTCCATCAAATTAATAAAAACTGATTATATTATTCCATATTATGCACGCTGTAGAATGGACAAGAATTAAGAATAACAACATCACCGAAATAACAATTTTTAGAAAGAATCATCTTCCAGTATCTGCCGAAACCAATGTAACCGATTTAATGTAAAACGCAATTACAGTAAATAAAGTTTAACAGTGTTATATTTTGCACAGCTCGTACCGGTACCAGGATTAAAATAGCCGTGTTTACCCAATATAGCCGGTATACACTCCCATTTTATTATTGTGTAGGCCGTATATGTAAATTGAAAGTCGTATATGTTTATAACGCAATACTCTGAGTAAAGTATTTATATTTTAATAAAGAAGAAATTATTGGACAATAATTGAGCATTATATGAGGACCTATCTGGGTGTCTTTTTGGACTAGGAACACCAAGGCTCCGTCAATTCAAGTACACGCCCGTACTTCAACTTGTTTAAACTTCTGCATTGTACCTTTCTATGACTTAGTCAATATTATTTGAATGTTTGGAATATTTATAGTTTTTACGTAATAGTTTTCACTCTTCTACACTTCTATAATGTCAGTGTATGATTATGAATAGAAGAAAAAAAAATGTTTACCGTATGTAATTATAAAGGGTGTATATGCATATAGTGATACACTTTTAAAAATCAACTATGTTAAAGTCACGATCGCTCAATAGACTATTATACATAGGCCTATTTTTGGATGTGGTTTTGCAAACACCCAGGGTACCCCTTAAAAATTGTCGCCCTTGTTGGGCCTTGAATTTCTTTTACCTATATGCCCAAGCTGTCTGTTCAACCAAAATAATGCTATGTCAGGAGAATATTAACTACTAATTTTGATATCAATTAAAGTAAATTTAAAAAGAAAACGTGCCCCTCCCCCCGCCCCATATGTTGCCCCATTGTTTCCCCTTTCGGAAATCTTGCATCCGATAGCACTGAGTATCCCGCAACAAGTCATTGCATGGGTTTATGGAATATAATATATGAGTTTATATTATAAATGTGGTATACTAAAACTATCCAAGCAGAAAAATATAAGCATTATGGATCCAATATGTGTCATATTTAACACCGTTTTAGTGTTTAATAATACATAACAAACTTTAACATTAGGCATATTGCGGGTGTTTTATCCGTGTCAATAACCCGAGAGTGGGTCAGACAGCGCGCGGTCATATCCTATGAATATTCATGAAGTGAAACATGTAATCAGACCAACAGAACATCAACAACGTCAGACGTAAGAATTTCTCGGTAGTGATAGTTTCAGATCAAAACATCACTCGTATTAAGTATTTGGACGTATATAATTACAACCAAAATGCCTAGTACCAAAGACCAACTCACAAAATATGAAAAGGTAAGAATTTATTGCACAATTAGCTGATAGTCTGCTATTTCTACGCAAAACATGCCGGGATTATTCCATAGCCAGTTGGTGTCGACTCAACCCTTCTGAATGAATAACAAGGCCGTCTGCTTGTTTGGCCCATAACGTTCGTCTTGCAATCAGTTTTACTAGTAAAATGTCTTCCTCCAAACAAACTCGAATTATTTATTAGAAATTGATGTTTTTGTATCAATAATGTTTGATAATTTTAAACCTTTTAACATTATGAATGAAAGTAATTCAACCGAAAGAAAATATAGCTCTTTGCCTGTCAGCCATTGGCGTATTCCGGGGGTGTGTCACAAACCATCAGGACAATAAATTAGCTATTTCTTTTACTGAAATCCAGCAAATGTTAACCATTTTTAAATCCCAATTGAAAATGTTCATATATACAGGGAACTGCATAAATCACTGTCCATCAGGTTTATACTGACATTAGCTTTGGATAATGTACTTCAAGGTTATGTGTATATCATGAGGTAGATTATTATGTGTATTTACTGTGCCCTGTGGGTTATTGGGGAAATATACATTTATTACACAGTGGACTGGTGTATATTGGTCTTTATAAAGAACACTTTGATTCAGTTTGAATATGAGGAGTGGGTTATAATGTCTAATCACTGTAATTAATTGCTTTGGGGAATACACACCTGTGATACACAAACCAATGACATTTTAATCTTATCACTGTCATATCATTGAGAGTTATTAGGTAATAATACACACATGGAAAACACATTAAGCTTTTGTATTGGTCTTTATAATTTAAGCCTGTGTTGGTTATTGTTTGGAAGATTTGGATATAAGTAATCTATAGGTGTAGTAATAGTGACAAATATGATATTATGCCATTTATTAAAGAGAGAGATAAATGAAAAATGCAGAGTCTGTAATTTGTTTGCATCCAGACTATTCTATTAAGAATATATCTGCCAACATTGACATTTTATGAATTATGTCATACCCAGAGGCAATGATGTTCTGCACTTTTTATTTTTACATTGACAGTCAACAAGATGTAGGTTTTATTCTAGATGTCACAAACTTAAAATTTCCTTCTTTGATGCCTTTTAAAGTTTACATGGAACTGAAATCCATTAATTTAAATATTTTATAGTTTATAACTAATAGATTACGGTCATGTTTCATTTTATCGTTACTTATGTTGTGTTTGAATTGTAAATACACTGTCACTCCTTATAATAATGATTTACGGTTACATTAGATTGTAAACTATGAGTGGGGACTGCTGTTACCATGGGAAATCCAATTCCTTCACTATCAAACAGATTTACATAAGGTACCTTTCAATAGTGAAACGCACACTACAATTTAGTAATTACCAAATCCTTCAGTTTTTAGTTAAACTGTACAAATTAATCTTAAAATGAAACTATACAAATCTATACTAATATTTGTGACTGTTGTTTGTCTGTCTGTTTGTATGTCTGCCTGTTTGGGGTAGGCGGCTACACTAGGTCTGCCATGAGTCTGAAATTTGGGGTATAGGGGTAGCTCGGACTGGGGAGTAACATAGGCCAGGTGGCATTAGTCTACAACTTCCGGTTTCGGGGTTATGACCCCCGGGCGACCCGGGCATTCTTCTAGTTATTCTTAAAATAAACTGTACATATTATACTTAAGCCACACCTGTTAAAATTGTTCTTATTCTTCCGGTAAAAGACTAATTTAAAAAACAAAAGTACTTTTAGTCCCAAATTTTAATGTTTTGAAATATTAAGCTAAATATCTTTCATGTGATTGAAGTCGCTATTTATTTATCAAGAAACCGAAAAACTGAAAATTAAATTGGTTTGACCTTAAAATGTTACAAACTGACATATACACCAAATATCAGAAGTGACTAACATGTCTCAATTATTAGAGCATAGAATTTAAGTTTGGTAGTTGTATCTCTTCAACATCTTCCTGTCATTTCAACATGTTTGTTACCTTGACCAAGCAGTGCGTGTCTTAGTGGACAACCACAGTTCAGGACATATCAATTGCTGTCTTGTTAAATTATTCAATGAAATGGCAGGTTTTGTCCTTACCTGTAAGGCCTTTAAATGTTAAATAAAAAAAAATTGTTTGGATTGAACTACCAAAATTTGGAAAACTACTGATTTACAATAAGACTATTAATGACAATTAGTCTGTGATGGGTCCAACCATTTGTTCTTAATTTTGTAGATTAGGGAAAGTGGCATGCAGTGAGAGGAGGGAGGTGGGGGGGGGGGCAATGGCCCTGGTCATTCATTTCTGGGGGTCATCCAATCCAAGTCTGGAATTAGAATTAATTTTTTGGAAATTTTGGATTGACTTTGTCGTACAAACCCCACCCTACTTAATTTGAATAAAAATTTACTTTTTCTGTTTTTACATATTTAGAATGTCTTTCATTCTCACATTCTTAGTACCACTCTACCAGGCCCTAATGGAGTCTTGGGACATACAATCAATGATATGGCCACCAAGGGCATTACCAAACCTCTGCACACCACTGGCTAATAGTAATAGTAATACACTTCTATACATGGTTGATCTGTTCATATGTACAAGTAACCGAGTAGAACTAGGAAGTCTAAAATAAACCTAGACATTTTAATTTGATAATAATGTTACAATTTGTGCAAACTGATCCAGGAATTGTTCCCAGGAATTAAAAACAGTCAGACTGTTTGGTATTATCTATTTATACATATTTTAAAAAATAAATATCATCATATAAACTTTTTGGTCGTATAGAATTTGACAGCCTATATAACAACAAACCCATTCTGAGTACTACAGAAAATAATTGAATAAATTTGTTAAATTATATGTTTTTCCCTACCTCATTCTTCTAAGCAAGTTAAAGGCTTGATGCATCATTTAGCACTATAAGAGTTCTGAGTTTAAATCCAATTGAATCCAAGTCTCGACATTATCTAGCATTGGTATTTTGATATTGTTTTCTTAATATAATTAGATGTTAAATAATCAACCTGAGTACATATTTAGTGTGTATTAAGCTGTGAGGAATTTGATATTTTAGTGAAAATGGTCCTTTATTGCTTGTTCTGTCTATGCTCTGTTGTCCTGCATTGTCTATAAATGCATTATGTAGGTGGTACATGCAAATAACCTTATGTTCAGACAACATGTTATTAAAGGAGCTAAGCCTGTAACTCAATATCATCCAAAATCTTCGACATTGAAAACACAATTTTTTTTTTCCAATTTAAATCAGCATTGGTGTTGTTATCTTACCTGGAAAAGATGGGCTTCTGATATCCAATATTTAAGACAAAATAAACATTTTACCATTGGTACACGAATGGTGTACCATAATGCTTTTCAGCGCCATTTGTAATAAGGTGATCAAAGAATGAGGCGAGACATATTCCACATGTCATATTAAACGGTGATATCATATTCTTATTTGGAGAGCATGCGCAATAAATAATATCAGTGTTGACTGGAATAACCAGACGCTAGATGTGTTGCGACTCATTTGTGCCAATTTAGCTCCTTTAAGCATTCATGATAGGATCACATGTGATAGTAACTTAACACCATTGTATAAGTCGAAATTTAAGGGAGGCAAGTTGCTAACTCAAATCATCCACAGTCTTCGATAATGCAAACACAACTTATTGATCAGTTTAAATCAACATTGATGTTGTTATCTTACCATGAAAATATGAGCTTCTGATATCCAGTATTTAACACAAAATGAAAATTTAAAAATTGGCACACAAATCGCTCGCCAGAATGCTTTCAAGCGCCATTTGCAATGAAACAACTCAATGAACGAGGCTAAACATATTCCAGAGGAAAATACTGCCATTCATAACTGATTAGAAATTACAGTAAAAACAGAAACGATTGGATGTAAATCATTTTATATAAATTCATATTACATCATTATATGTGTTGTGACACATTTGTGTCTATTTCTAGTTGGTAAGGAATAGCGATTTAGCTTCTTTAATACAGAGAAATGATGAGATCGAATAAACTTGATATGTGCACCAATTGTTGCAAAAATGTGACCAACAAGGAAATATATGTTATAGGTGAAAGTTATACACATCATATCCAAATTTTAATGATTTCATAAAAAATGAAGAAAACAAAATGGATGATTGAAATTTTGACAAAAACAGCCTTGCTAATCACCAACAGCAACCTCAATTGTATTCATCTTGCCTTGTCTGTCATTTTTTGCCATATATTGGGCACTACTGACCCATATGGACCAAAAATGTTCTTGTTAGTTCTTTAGTAGTAGGACCCCTGTAACATGATGAAGCTTAGTTTATTACAGTATGTTATTTTGACCTATATCTAGGTTCATATGATAAGTAGGTTAATATTATCTAGTACATAAATCATTTGGTGTATTGCTTTACTGACATTGTCACTACCTGGTATTGTCTGTAGTTAATTGACAGTAGATCCCTGGTCAACTCTTATTTCACTGTTCGATTGGATGGCCCACTTGAATGGATATCCCCTCTTGCTCACTCTCTCTATGCAAGCCACTTCATTGTGCATATCAGTACTATAATGATTATCTACATATGTTATATAACCCTTAAATGTTATATAGGTCTTAAATTTATACACGTATGTAGATAATGACTACATGGCGATGACCTTTCTTTAAAGTACAAGATATCAATGAATGTGCACATATGTATTTAGCATTCATAAATCATTTAATTCCTTGGATTTTTATACGCCCACATGGAAATGTGGACGTATATTTACTGTGGCCCACGTCCATCCATCCGTCTGTCGATCCATCCGACGGTCTGTCCGCCGTCCACAATTTCGAGTAAACACTCTTATGCCAAAATTTAACATCCGATTGTTTTAAAATTGATATATGTTGTTACCATTAGTGAGATGAATAAGCCTATTTAATTTCAATAATTTCCGTTTATTATGCCAAAAGTTATCATCCAATCTTTGTG